AAGTTTAGTAGTCATTACTCTGAATGAATTGTTGGCAAGGCTTAGGCCTTGTCAGGATTATATTCGGATTCAGAGCTTTTCAGCACGTGCTGGAAAGTTGATACTAATAAGATTGGAAAGGATGTTCGGAAATTAAGCTATTTGTGGGATACTTCATGGTAACGAGAAATGAGTGGATTATTATAGTACTAAAAGTCAGAATATGTTCGTTAGCGCGAATTCTGATTTTTAGAGGAATACTAATTAATAAATCACTATGTTCATTTGTAGAATTATTTTAAGGAAAGATAAAGATAAAGTTCAACTTTATTACCAAGTGTACAAATGTGATACCACAAGGAAAAACTGCAACACGTATTTGTGTTATACACCTTTACAGAGGGAACCTCGTTGTAGTGGGAGGGTTGCAAGACAACTCCATTTGTGATAATAAGAGAGTCGTTGGACTCAGTCTGTATTAATCACAAGATCATGCAATTCATGTTTTTGAGAAAGTCTCGGACTTAGTCTCTAGTAAACTTGAATCAATCCCTAGTTATACAATGAGGAGATCCAAGACAATGATGCATAAACTTAGCAAAGTTTTTAATGATTTCTGATTTAGGGTCATGGACTCTTATCAGATCTGGGTTCTTATAGAATTACCAAGTAGCAAACTTGCTATTGGACGATATCTATAAGTGAAGACTTTAGTATAAGGCTTGTTGTGAAATAACAGACTCGGAAAGAATGGAATCTATTATGAGTTAGTTTTTCACCAGTAGCCGTGTTTAAGTCTGTACATATAAAGGCTTGATGTGAAATGGTGAACTCAGAAAGAATGGGATCTAATATGAGTTAATTATTTCACTGATTGCCTAATTTAAAGCTGATGCCATTCATATGAGTTATGAGTTAGGCAAAGTGGTTGTCAAGACATTTCCCTTAACCGGAAGTCTTGTAGGAATATCCACAGAGCAGCACCCAAGAATGTTCATTGGAAAAGAGCTAAAAAGCATATTGTCAGTAGGCTGACAAAGTCCGTTTAAAGGACTGTGGTGGGCCGATCATTTGGCTGATAAGTTTGAATCATGGATTTGATTATTCACCAAATGAGCATTGTGTGTGGCGCAATGGAAGCGTGGTGGTATTTTTGTACTATGCGTAGACAACATCTTGATCACTGGAGACAGTGTGAAAATGTTGACAAACGCAAGGGTATGATTATCCAAGTAGTGGTACATGAAAGATTCGGAATCAACAGATATTCTTGAGATTGAGCTTCACAAGAAAGATTTGTTGCGATTGTCCCAATTTTCATGTCCAGACTGTCATAA